TATGTGGGATATAATGATCAACATAAACTGATGAACCAAAATGGATCCAGAGACAAGGTGGCACTGAGCAGACTGTCCAACCTTGGGGAGAAGGCAGGGGAGGAAGGGGATAGAGATCAACCAAAGGACTTGTATGCATGCATATTAGCATGACCAATGGACACAGGCACTGGGGTGGTGGGGGCTTGCCCTCGGGGACGGGGGTTAATTGGAAAAAAAGGGAGACATGTAATACTTTAAACAATTAAAAAAATTAAGTAATTACTCATCAAAAAAATTTTTTAAAAGTAAAAACAAAAAAAAAACACATTCTATGCCAAAACTATGTGAAATTGAGATTCCAGTCTTTAAGTTCTGTTTGTTTTTAATATACAACTCTCTCTCTCAAAAGGCCACCAATACGAGGCAGAAGAACAAATTTCTTGAAACCATGGATGATTGCCCTTCTTGTTGCAGCTGTTGTGTTGGTTCTAGCAATAATCATCGGTCTCCTTGTTTATTTTTTGGCATTTGGTAAGAACCTATCTCATTGCATTTTTTTTTAATTTTAAATATCCACTCACTTATTTCAAAACTTTAATAATTTTTAATATTTTAGAATATAATTTTCATTGCAACAATGATTTGCTTAAATGTGTACATACTTTGCATAATGTAATGTTGATTTGCATAAATTTATCTACATTTTGGAAATTATAATCTTTTATGTGTAGAAATGCTTCTAGCATTAAAATTTGACTTGGTTCACGTAATACTTTTTCTTGACCAATGCCATAGATTTATATCCTATGTTATTGTATGATTTTATATTCTCAATATGATTTATTGAGAATAAAAAATTATTTTAGTAGCAATTCTAAATTCAAGGTCAACTTGTGTCAGGACACAACTGAAAATTACATGACTAAGAGATTGTGCAATCTTCAAAAAGGAAGAGAGAAGTGTTGGCCACAGCTACTGAATTAATTCTCAGGAGTTCATCAATTATGGGATGTTTTTGCATGCCATTCCCTCTATTTCCATTATTTATGTAGCTCATATGAACTAAAGAGAAACCATGCATATTTGTTCTCCCTTCCAGATCAGAAAAAGGTGCACTATTTCCAAACCTCCTTCCAGATCCCCAGTATTGAATATAATCCGGATTTTTCAGTAGAGCACTCAAAAATTAGGAATGACCTGAAACAAAAAATCAATGATGAGGTAAGTCTAAGTTTTGCTGGCATCATTTCTACCTGACAATACTGTTAGGGAGAAAGAGGTTAAAATAAAATAAGAGGTGAGTTGAGAACACACCAAATTACATCTATGTTAGGTTTGCCAGATAAAATACAGAATGCCCAGCTAAATTTTAATTTCACATCTTCCTGAAAATATACTCCATTCAATATTTTCAACATGCTTATACTAAAAAGCATTTATTGTTTATCTGAAATTAAAGTTTAACTCTATTTTTATTTGCTACTCCTGGCAACTCTAACCAACATTGTCTCAGGTACACTGGAGAAAGGATGATTGCACCAAAGACTGAACAACATAAGCTAAACAAAAAGAAAAAATAATAGCTTAAGTACAAAAAAATAGCATATTTGGAAATATAACTCAATCATTCAGGCACAAACAACATTACCATATATCATTAAATATACACCTACAGTGTGTATGATCCTAATACATTTCCCTAATAATTAGGCAATTATATTGAACATTTGTTCCTAAAAATAGAGCACAGAAACACATAGACTTCCACTGAAGACTTCAAATGTATACACAGCTTCTACTGAGCCAAGCATTGGCCAAAGATAAAAGATCATTCTTGCCAAGTTCAGAAATATTTCTTTAGCCATTTCCCAACCAAAATCAGAAAATGATGAAATGAATTGAAATATGCAACTAAGTGGCATTGGCAGGGTACTGAATATTTTATTACAGGAATAAATATATTGAATTGGAGACAGTCTAAGCTTTGTAGTCAGAACATCTATGTTCAATCGGCTTCTCAACTTTGGGAAGCTACTTGACCCCTCAAGGTTTCCACTTTCAAAATAATGATAATCACACCCACCTCTGAATTATTCTGAGAATCAGTTTATGTTGCGAATAAAAGTATGAAAAACAATGTCTGAATGAAGGTTAGTATCTGTTTCTTGTGTTCTCATGGAACTTTTCACACACCTCTGCTAGAGCACTTACTGCCTTGTGACATTATTATTATTTTATATGTCTAGGTTTCTCTGGATTTGTGAAGGGCTAAATCGACTTATTCTTATAATTCTGGCGCCTGTCACAGTGTCTGCCACATGGTAGGATCATAAAAATACTCATCAAACAAATGACTAGGGAATAAAGAATTTACTAGTAGTGGCCCTGTCCTCTAGAATACAAATGGTGACTACATAGGAGAAGGATCATAATTGAGAAGTACAGTACAGAAGTACAGTAATTTAGACCAGGAGTTGGCAATTTTTTTTTTGTAAAAAGCCAGATAAGTGCCCATCAGCAGATGAGTGGATTAAAAAACTGTGGTACATCTACATCTACCGAAGAAGAGTGTTTGCACCTAGTATTCCATGGATATGATCTATCAGAGAATCAGTTTTTCCTATTACCAATAGAAGACTAACTTTTCATGCCCCTCCAGGTGTGGAACTACCAGTTTGATGGAAATCCTAGCTCAACACTATTCCAATTCACTCCTGAACAAACTGCAAGTCTGGGTTTCTCGGGCCACTGGTTCACGTAGGGAAAGCAGCCTCTGAAACGGCTCTCTCACTGCTGATCACTCTCCCACCCTTGATCATTCCATGGAGAAATCTGATAGGAATAATAGAATATGATTTTCAACTTCTACCTGTGTTTCCTTGGAGTTTAGTTCCAGAGACAAAAACAAAACTGAGGACACATTTGTAATACCTTAACCAATAAAGAAATTTTTTTTAAAAAAAGCCAGATAGTAAATTTTCAGCTTTGCAGGCCATACAGTCCTTCTGAAGCAATTCAGATCTGTCTTTGTAGTGCTACTGCACCAGAGACAATATGTCAGCCAAGCAGTGTGTCTGCAGCCCAGGAAAACTTGATTCTGGATGCTGAAAGTTAAATTTTGTAAAAATTTTTAGCGGGCACAAAACGTTACTCTTTTTATGATTTTTTTCAACTATTAAAATAATATGAAGACCACTCTTAGATGGTGGACCCACAAAAACGAGTGGCTGGCTGATTTTTCCTATAGGCTATAACTTGCTGATCCCTGATTTAGACTGTGAGTTTCAGTTCTAGCAAACATTATCCCAGAAGAAATGACTAAAATCAGTACCTAAAATGAAATTTAGAGATGTCTTTTGGATTTCAATAATCTAGACTGTTTATAATCTAGACTGCTTATATTGCCATGGGCAATAACATGGTTCACAAAACTGTGATTTAAAGGAAACAACAACAAAATAATGAAATAGAAAAGAGAATGGAAATAGGCAGAGAACTTATAGTAAAATTTATAAAAATCTATGTAGAAATATGGAAGTACATATGCCCAAAATTAAAATTACAGGTTCTCTGCAGTGATTTAGAGGTTATTTTAATGCTTTTCATTATGCTTTGCTGTTTTGCTAGCTTTTTATAACTTTTTACAATGAATATGTATTAGGTTTTGTCATATAAATGTACATGTGTGTATATAAAACTATATCCTTTAGAAAAACAAATTTTCTATCATTGTTAAAGGAAAACACCTGGTCATTGTTTTTCTTAATAACTTGAATTTTCTTTTTTTAATAACTTGATTTTTCAACAACTGTATGATTACCATCCTATCTAATAGGATGTGATATGGTGCCTCACCAGAGGAAATGTCATAAATCAGATGAGTGAAAAGCACTTGTTCAGCACATGTCTAGTTTCACATTTTGACAGCTCTTTTCTCTTCTGATTTGAGGAAATAATTATTGAGACTCAGGTTCACTTAAGATTTGGGACATGATCTGTCATTTTTTCTGAAAAGCCAGATTGATGAGTCAATGTTAATGAATAGGTTAGTGCAACCACAGATTCTGTAACAATCTGTGGTTTTAGTACGAAATAATTTCTTCTAGGAATTAATATTACACAGAAATTATCCCACAAAAGTCTAAAATGACACACAAATAGCATAGTCTTATTCTGTTATTATTTCATGATTTTTCTTGCTGAGTATATTCATTTTAAAGAAGTACCCAAAAATATATATTCTTTTCCTCTCCCCCATTTATCACAGAATCAAAATATGGCCTAAAAAGTTTCAGAAAAACCTAAAAGACTGATTCTTTAATCACCTCCATGAGGAAGATAACTGAACTTGAATGACAGAGGATTTTAAGTCCTTATGTAGCCAGTTTTCAAAGAACCTCCGTCTTTGTACCTCCAACTCTGTGCATATTTTATATTGGCTGTTGAAACAGCTAGCTTCATTCAACTCTGTATCAGCCATCTTTAACCGTGTGACAATTTGTTTAAATATCAACATCTAATTACTAGGAAGATCTTTCTGATAACAGGATTATGCCCCAGTGAGCTTTCTGGGTGGGGATAGGTATAAAGCAACACAGAATTAAATGCTATTTGAATCACTGCAGGTTTTATACAAACTTTTTTGTGTTATATTGAAACGTGTGAAATTCATATTTAACAAAGTTCTATGCTGTGTGTTGTTGTTTTTTCTTTTCTCAGATTGATAAGATATTTCAAAATTCCAGTTTAAATCATCATTACATCGAGTCTCATGTTGTCAACTTTAGGTAATCATAACTAATCAATTTGTATAATGAAAGGGCAATTTTGTTTTATTTAGTTATTCTTCATTTATTTGCTTTGTTGACAGGATATGAAAATCTTAGATAGCTCAGCTGACATGGCTCAGTGGTTGAGTGTTGACCTATGAACCAGGAAGTCACGGTTTGATTCCCGGTCAGGGCACAGGCCTGGGTTTCAGGCTTGATCCCCAGTAGTGGATGAGCAGGAGGCAGCCAATCAATGATTCTCTCCCATCATTGATGTTTCTATCTCTCTCCCTCTCCCTTCCTCTCCGAAATAAATAAAAATATATATTTAAAAAATTTTAGATATACCAAGAGCAAAAACAATTTCATATTACTATGTTTAATTGTTATGCCTCTTCTACAGAGTACCTAAAGGGGACACTTTCTTGACTTGGGTAGAGATTAAATACATTCTTCTGGTTGTTCTTTTAAAGACTTGCATTTCTGCCCAGGCCGAATGGCTCAGTTGGTTGAGCACAGTCCTGTGCACCGAAGGGTCACTGGTTTGATTCCCCATCTGGGCACATACCCAGATTTTGGGTTTCATCCCCCCATTAGGGTGTGTACAGAGGCAGCCAATGGATGTTTCTCTCTCACATCAATGTTTTTCTCTTTCTCCCTCTGTACCTTCCTCTCTCTTAAAAAAAATCAATAAAAACATATTTTGGACAGAAAAAAGATTGTGGGTCTGATTCTGGTAGGGCACATACCTAGGTTGTGAGTTCAACCCCCAGTTGGGGCACATGCAGGAGGCAACCTATTGATGTTTCTCTTTACATTGATATTTCTCTCTCACACACATACTCTTCCTCACTCTCTCTATAAAAACCAATGAAAACATATCCGCACATGAGGATTAAAAAAAAAAAAAGACTTGCCCTTCAGTTAAAGATTCTCACAATCATTAAATACTTTTACTTAATTTTTTTAAAATATATTTTTATTGATTTCAAAGAAGAAGGGAGAGAGAGAGAGAGAGAGAGAGAGAGAGAGAGAGAGAGAGAAACATCAATAATGAGAAAGGATCATTGATCAGCTGCCTCTTGCACACCCCCTATTGGGGATCGATCCTGCAACCTGGGCATATGCTCTGACCGGAAATCGAACATGTGACCTCATTCCTGGGTCCACGCTCAACTGCTGAGTCACACCTGGTTGAGCTTAATTTTTAAATTTTACTTAAATTTTAAGCATAAACAGATATGAATTTTTAAAAATTAAGAAAAAATATATGTAGACAGAGTTGACGGATTTAACAAGTACTTTTGATTTATTTTTCCAGAAAAAAAATTCCAAAACTCTAGAATTTTACTCTCCCCTCCCTAAATATGAAACACTTTTATGAACAGGGAATAATTTATGTATTAACACCTACATGATAAAAGAAAGGGAAAAATCTATGAAAGTAAAATATTTATGTTGTATTTTTGAAGATATAACTAATACTTAAATAATAAGGTATAAAATAATAATTATGGCTATGACTTCACTTATTTATTCTGGTGTTTTTGTTTTCCAGGTCAAGTGATGATGGATTGAAAACAGATGTATTGCTTAAATTTCACTTTCTTCCTAACAATGCAGAAACAGTAAAAAGTCAAGCTGCTAACATTTTGCATCAGAAGTTAAAATTAAATGAAAGCTTCTTGAAGATAGATACTTCATTGCCTTATCTTAAAGGTAAGAAATACCATTTTTCTCTCCTTGCTATAGTTCACAATTTTACTATCTTCTCATCTACAGAGAAAGGATCTTTATTTCACCATAAAATGAAAATGCTTTTCATTTTTAAGTCTCTCATTTACTTGATAATAAGCAAAAACCCAATCAACACCAAAATATTCCTTTGATTAATATGGAAATAATTAAGACAGAATAATTATATAATAATTATATAATAACACAAATATAATAGCAATTCCTCCTTTTTTGAAAGAGAGATATTAGTATAATTGTTTGAATTAAACATGAATATGATTTAAAAACAAAAACAAAAACCTATACTCTGCTACTGTGCCATGAGAAGACTACCTTGTGTTACTTCTTTATAGCCACACCCAAACCCTCTGCCCATCTCTAGCCGCTGGCAACCCTAATCCATTCTCCATCTATCTATACTAATAAAAGGGTAATATGCAAATGAGACCGGATAGACCGGACATCTTCTGGTCGTCCAGTCCTCCTTCCGGACAAAGCCATGGTGGCAGGGGTTGAGGCAGAGGTGGTTAGGGGTGATCAGGCTGGCAGGCAGAGGCAGTTAGAGGCGATCAGGCAGGCAGGCTGGTGAGGGGTTAGGAGCCAGCAGTTCCAGATTGGAGAGGGTGCAGGCCAGGCTGAGGGATTCCCACCCCCCATGCACGAATTTCATACACCAGGCCTCTAGTGTAATTATTTTATTTCATGAATGTTACATAAATGGAATCATACACTTTATATCCTTTTGAGATTGTTATTATTGGCAAAACCTAATTCTAAGAGACTTACTCTAATAAACTCCCTACCCATAGTAATCTGCAGATGAATTTTTATGTTCTCGGTTAGAGTCTGACCTACATTAAAGACTCCTTAATTTGCAGGTTTATTGAAATTTCACACAGCTTTCATTGTAGCAAAATATGGGTCTAGATTGCTCCTTATGCTATCTGGCATAAGGAGAAATTCATGTAATTGCGGGGAACAACTGAGCATGCTTTGTTTTCTATTTTACTTCATGATAAAAATGACTAACATATTTGAGAATTTGTTAGGATATTGGTGGATTTTGATTCCACAGGGAGCATCTGTGGACCAACCCTCGATGCCAGCTGTCTAAGATTCTTGAATGGCTTTACAGTAACACTACTGTGTGAATGAGGATGAAGGAGAACAGTGTCCAAACATATTAGTATATATGTAAAAGTGGTCTTAGGTTCTCTTCAGTTTCACTTATATTTTAATAAATTGGCATGGCACTAATCCGCCTTCATGGCAAACAATAGCATCCTCTCTGCCAATGTTTTTATAACAATTAACCAGTATTTTCCTAGAGTCCACATATAGTAGGCATGAGAGTTTAATTTATATCTAAGCTTCCCCTTTTCGTAGGATTTTATTCTATTGCCTTTAAATTAAGTATTTCCTAACTAATTCAGTTTCTTCCAAATAGAAATATTCATGTCATGCAGGTACAGTGTTTTAAATGATAATTGTTCCATTGCTGAGCAATCATCTTGTATTTTTTCCAGATATAAATAAAATACAAGCAGAGCACATTCTGAACAGCGGTAAGTTAAAAAATATCACTGAGATGTTTTATAGATCAAATAATAAAACTTAAAAACACTTTTAAGAGTTTCTTGCCCTAGCCAGTTTGGCTCAGTGGATAGAGCATTGGCCTGCGGACTAAAGGGTCCTGGGTTTGATTCCAGTGAAAGACACATGCCCCGGTTGTGGGCTTGATCCCAGTAGGGGGTGTGCAGGAGGCAGCCTATCAAATGATTCTCATAATTGATGTTTCAATCTCTCTCAACCTTTCCCTTCCTCTGAAATCAATTTTAAAAAAAAGAGAGAGAGAAGACTTTCTCTACTCCCATGTTTACTATTTCCAAAAGTATATAATATCTCTAAATGGATACATGATTTAACTCTCCTCAAGGGAAAATAATTATTAGTAATAATTGGGAATTCATGTCACATGGACTCTTCAGAAATAACTTGCTCTTCTTTATAGAAGGATTCACTGATGACTTCTTTTAAAGAGTTCCCTTTCATTTTATCTTATTTATTTTTATTTGGTTCACTTTGTTAAAGTAGAAAATTTGTTTAGAAGTAAATGACACCCACTAACTTTAATATGTAAACTTAGATATTTATACTAAGTTATGTAATGGTTTTAATATTAGACAAGTATTTAAATAAAATAGTACAAATAGTATTTTTTCTGCAATAATTAGTGTACATTTCACAATCAAAACCATCAAATATCATGGGGGTAAATGCTGCACCTAAGAACATGATCCCAAAATATAAGAAAAAAATTAAGTGAAATTGCTTTAAATACATCAGGGAGGGTATTAAATATTTTATGTTTTAAGTTAACCATTTTAGTATACATTATTATTCTATCATGTAATTTTGATTAAATTTTAAGGCCAGGCAAACCTATGAATGTTCCCATATTTTACTATGTGCCAAATATACGTATACACATTGATAACTCTAGAAATAATCATCTTATTCTCTTATGACAGGTTGTGGTTTAGGGAGGGAGTCTCCATCCATGGAAAAAATTGCTAATGGTTATATTGCAAAGAAAGCTGATTGGCCATGGCAAGCCAGCCTGCAAATGGATGGCACCCACTACTGTGGGGCCTCTTTGATCAGTGAGGAGTGGCTCCTGACTGCAGCGCATTGCTTTGACACGTAAGTCCTCAGTCTGTACCAACAGGGTCACCAATTTCACTTCTTTTTCTCACCTTCACTTGCTATAATTCGTATCCCTTTTTCATCAATCATCTTAGGCCTCCCAATAGTATTCGTGATTTTTCTGGTAGGCTTAGAAAAAGTGACAATTACTGAACAGTACAAAAAATTAGAGTATCTTCAGCTTTAACTGAATATATATTCCCCAGCAATCTCAATTTTAACTAAGAACAAGCCAACACTGTCAAAATTTAAACACACTCGCCAGTTTTTCTGAGATATATTGTGGATTTTTAAAAAACTCTGCTAATAATATCTCAACCCACAAACTTACATCTGATTATCCCATGAACTCACATCTGATTTTCCCACATGGATATCTTTGGTGCTCTACTTTTATTATTTATATACTCATTGAAGATTTAACATATGGGACACTTGGAGAAAATAAAGAGATATAGTAGCTCTAGTGAAATTCACATAAAATGTGAAAATATTCTGGATAAAATTTACCCTAAAAGAAAGGATGAGAAAACACTGAATCAATTGTGGCTCTAATCTCTCTCTCTCTCTCTCTCTCTCTCTCTCTCTCTCTCCTCCCCTCCCCTCCCATCCCCTCCCTTTCTCTCTCTATAACTATACATACATACATTTAAATAACTATGCATGGACATAGTGATATGTATATGTATGTATACAATATCTCTAATTTTTATTCAAGTATATTTTCTTCAAAAAATAGCAATAATCCATTGGTTTCTTTAAAAAAAAATACGAACTCCCCCTGGAAGAGTATACTTTAAGCTACAAGAGAATGGGGGGATTTGTCATCAGCTAAATCAATACAAAGCAGCCCTAGGGGAGAAGCCTTAAATGAGAAGGTGGGAGGATCCCCATCTACTATCACCTTAAACAATTTGCCCTTCTCCCACCCTATGCCCCCTGCTCATCCAGAGTCCTGGGTAACTTTAGATCAGAAATGAACCAACAATAATCCTTTTAATCTGTGATCAGTTACAAAAACCCCAAACTCTGGACGGCTAGTTTTGGAACCACTCTAAGCCCTCCGCTAATGAGAAGAAGGGTGCAGTCAATTGTCCTTCATGAGAACTATGCTGCCCATAAGCACGAAGACGACATCGCGTTGGTGAAGCTCTCCGCTCCCGTCCTGTTTTCCGAAGATGTGCACAGAGTCTGTCTCCCGGATGCTGCATTTGAAGTCTTGCCTAAGAGTAAAGTGTTTGTCACCGGATGGGGAGCACTGAAAGTAAACGGTGAGTATCTCAGTAAAAAAACAAAAACCTCCATCTGAGTGGAGATATGAAATAAGATACCAAGTCAAAATACAGAAAATAAGAGATTAAACCATTATGTCCCATGAAAAAATATGGCGGAAACAACAAACAAAAACCAGATATTGTGACTTATGAAAACTTTGGCTATTACTATTACACGGTATTTATGTCTATTATATTCCTTAGGGGTTTCTCTAAAAACTAGTTATAACTTTTCAAACATAATTAAAGCATATTTTTTCATATGATTTTTTTTTCTTTCATCGCTCTTTCAGATGTAAAGATTCTGTTATGGCTACATAATTCCTAAAGTATGTTATTTGTGAGCAGTAGTAATGTATCATAAACAGAAATAGTCTTAAGAGAGCAATTTGAATGACATTCCTGATGCTGAATATTAAATGGGGCCTTCTGATCCATGTATCTATAAAACAGTTTTTTGAGTTTGAGAGTTTATGAAGTTGACAAGTATGATATTTTACTATACTTAATAATATATAATAAACTGCTGATAGACATTTAAATAATGATGTAAGTTTCCAGTTCTCTTAAGCTGCACTCTTTACATATGGTTTAATCTGTCCTTGACTTTCTGATTCTCGTTCCACGTTCTTATTATGAAGTTGTAGTCTTATTATGTTCTTGCTCAAAGTACAGCTTTTATCTACCGAGTCTTCATCAGTTGATTTTTATAGATATCTGCTCTCTTTCAATATGTACTCTAAAATTCTCACATGGGGTCCAGGTTGATACACTGTTTTTATAACCTGAGAGTCCTTTTCCTCATTACTAAGGGATTGGCCTTGTTATATAGGGTATGGTGATAAGTATAAAGGAGAATTAAATGATTTGGAATTAGGCAAACTGCTTACTGATTGGAGCAGAAATATATAGCATCGACCACTAGGGCAGGACCATGACGCCTCCTATAGAACCTAATTAAACTTAACATCCCCCTTTCCAGACTTGTAGTTTCAGAGTGATTTGTGAGTTCATCATGAATCATTCAATGCCCAAAAGTGTGCAGAATACTGCGTATTGACCTATCTATTGTTATAAGTTGCATCCTTTAAAAAAAATCTTTATTGTTGAAAATATTACACAGGCCTTTTTTATGAAGCAATAATATTTTATCTATTTAGTTTTGAAGTTAATTCCTGAGAGTAAAGACTTGCTCTATATTGCTTTTTCTAAAGGATTCTCAATTCCCAATATAAGTGTGTCATTTGAAGAGTGATAATCCAGACTTCCTGTAAATTAGGTAAACTGTGACAGATTTTCCCAGGTAGTGATAAATGCCCTGACTTTTTATCTCCATTTAGCTAAGTGATCATTGCAAGACTCATAGCCAAGTGATCTTTGGTTTATTCATCTAAAAAAAAATCCATATTTATCTTTGGTAATTGTGACAAGTATGAAGTAAGACAGTGGAAATAAGCATGCCAAGGATGATAGCTAACACATAGAAAACAAAAGAGCATCCAGGAAATATAACTTGACTCCGAAGCGCTGTCATCAAGCCCAGAGCCCAACTTCTAGACCAGTGGTTCTCAACCTTCTTAATGCTGTGACCCTTTAATACAGTTCCTCATGTTGTGGTGACCCCCAACCATAAAATTATTTTCATTGCTACTTCATAACTGTAATTTTGCTACTGTTATGAATCGTAATGTAAATATCTGATATGCAGGATGTATTTTCATTGTTACAAATTGAACATAATTAAAGCATAGTGATTAATCACAAAAACAATATGTAATTATATATGTGTTTTCCGATGGTCTTAGGCGACCCCTGTGAAAG